GGGACCCTACCGGGCCCTGTGATGATGTACTCTACTTTGAGATAAATCAAGGGATGAGACCTTGAGTATATTTGGGCTGTGTGTCGCCATGCCACAGGGACACGTGTGCCCGCAAACGTTTTAATAGCAACGTGATCGCAGTGGTGGTGGTAATTGGGTGGGTTCACGGAAGCGTGTTAGGGAACCCCAGTCTTTCTCGTGGATCGCCACTGAACGTCTTGAGCTCAGTCACTGTCCTACGTGCTTCGAATCCGGTGGGATCCGTGAGCCCTAACTCGGTAGATTCTGCAGGACCCCCATCCCTGCCCCCAAGTGACTGTAGCGGAGAAATTCTAACATGAATGTGTGTGTTTTTCTCTATTACAGCTCCTGCGACAACGAAGCAACCGTGTGGTAAGTTTGCGTTCCCCGGGGAGAGCTGTGTCACTTCCGAAAAGCGCTTTAATGGTTTTCTTCTTTGGGCCACGCTCGCAAGAACCCCGGCCGTGATGCTCTCCAAATCTTAAGAGCCAGCGTCCTTGGGGGGGAAGGGGCAGGAGACTTGGACATCTTAATTTTTGGAGGAGCCTCCATACTGTTTCCCACAGCGGCTGTATCATTTACATACCCACCAGCGGTGCATGAGGGTATTGTAGCATTGGACACTTGAAACTCTATAATTTTAAAAAATATATATATTTGTATTGATCTCAGAGAGGAAGGGAGAGAGAGAGAGAAACACCAATGATGAGAGAGACTCATGGATCGGCTGCCTCCTGCACGCCCCACACTGAGGTTCGAGTCTGCAACCCGGGCACGTGCCCTTGACCGGGAATCAAACCCTGACCTCCTGGTTCCTAGGTCGACGCTCAACCACTGAGCCACGCCGGCCGGGCGAAGCTATATAATCTTATTAGCCAACGCCACCCCAGTAAATGTGATATAAACAAATAACTAAAATGAAGTCAGGTACATAAGTCAGAGAAGGTTGAGGCCTGGGGTCCCCAAAGGATGAATGTTCCACCCGTCTGGAGACACAGAACATCGAGAAGGCTGTGTTCGAAGGCAAAGGAAATTGTAAAACAAGAAAACAAAGTTGTCAGACGCATCACCCACTGGATCTTCAGTTCAACCAGTCATTGTTGAGCCCCCCCACTCGTGACAGGTTTTAGGGGGGGATCTGGGTTTTTGGCGATGATCCCAACGGACTGGCCTTTGCTCTCATGAGGTGCACAGTCCAGAGAGCAGGACAGATTTTAACCTAATAACCCCCCCGCCCCCCCAACATGGGAACTTATAGCCGGGGTCCTTAGCAAAGCTGTAAAGGGAGAGGAAAGAAAGCCATGGGGGAGCTGGGGGTTCCTCTGACTCCATGTTCGGGGGGACGGGGCGGGGGGGGGGGCGCAAAGGGGATTTTGCCAGCGATTGGATAGCTAAGGAGTTTGCATTTAACGTAGGTGTATTTGCTCTGAAAAATAAAATAATCTCGCTGTGTCATGTTCTTTCAGATAAAAAATTTGAGAACGTCCAAGTGACCTACCAGTATGATGATAATACTGAAAGATTTCATGCAAAAGTAGATG